GTATTAATGTTTGTGTGTTGTTTCTGATTTGTGTTCTTAGATTTGTTACTTTATTTCTTAAAAAAAAATAGAAATAAATAATAATTATTATGAACAAACAAACATATAACGGAATAAATTGCTGTAAGAGACTCTCGTATCATTCTAAAGAATGGTTAATTGAAAACACGATATTATTAAAAAATATCTATTGAGAAATTAAAGAAAATGATAGAAATGTAGAATGGTTATATGAAAGAATATGATAATGTAAATTAATAATTGTTCATAAAAATCTTAAAATATTACAACAGTCAAAAAGGTATGAATGAAATGTAAAATATAAGGTGAATGAAAATATAAATATACTATAATTCTAACAATAAATAATGATATAAACAATGAAATATTAACAATTCCATGTGCTTCATTTTTCTCATATTCATAATAACCAACGAATATATCGAAATATATTAATGAGAATAAATCAAAAGTAATTAAGCACAACCCACACAAAAGAAGAAGAAATAAATGAGTCATTTATTTTGTATTGATGAAATGAAAATAAATAGAAAATAAATGAAGATATGAAATACAATCAATATGATGAGAAGAATATTTAAAGCAGATAATAATGAAGAAACTGAGATAGTCACTTCTCAATATAAAGAAATAAGATAAAAATAAATAATAAAACAGATAAATTTCTATGAATAAAAATATGAAAGAAAATAAACAAAGAAAAAGAAAAAACTAAATCAATTAAAACATATAAATTACAAAAACATTGTATTTATATTAACGTTTTGATGCTTTTTTTGTTGAAATAACCGAAAGTGGTTTTTGATAAATTTGATTCTATAAAAAGGTTGAAATTATGTTAAAGTATATAAATAATAACCTAATTCCTTAAGTTATTGTTGTTAATTATATTATTTTTATGCAAGGATAAAATTCTTTAAATATATACTTTTTTTTCAAAATAACTTATTTGTTGCTTGAATTTCTAAAAATATATCTAACGCGATATTTATTTAAGAATAACCTGAATTTTTACAACAAACTTTGAAAATAAATCTTTTATCTTTTTAATTTATGAAAATATAAAAATTGATTAAAGTATTATTTTGAAAGTATTTTTATTTGAATAATTTTTTGTTAAATGAGTCAATAAAAAAAAACCAAAGAATTTTCAACTTTAACAAAAGTAATAAAGCAATAAAATTAGTAAAAACTTTATAAAAAAAGAGAAAAAGTATTTTTAATTCATTCTTTCCTTCAAAACAAGGATTATTTCTCTTTTTTTTTAGAAAGAAGTATTCTATTGATAATATTTTGGTACTAATGATACAATTAGGAATAAAAAGATATTTAGTTCTGTTAGAAATTAATAAAACAAATGACAGTATTAACACTAATACTCATAGTCCTTTGTAATGCTGAATTTGATCTCAGCCTTGATGATCATTCATTATTTAATCAATTCCAAGCTAAATACCGTAAAGTCTATGAAACTCCAAGTCAAAAATTATACAGATTCTCAATTTTTAAAGAAAGAGTTAAATTAATTAGACAAAGAAACTCAGAAAGAACAAGAGATTCCGATGCAGTTTTTGTGATAAATGCATTAACAGATTTATATCCAGCAGAATATGGAGTAGTTCCATCAATTCCAATTAATATAGCAAAGTTAAAAGGATATGACGACAACTATAATAGAGATTTTAATCAACCACCACCATTACCAGAAGGAGATAACCTTCCAGAATATCATACTTATTGTGGTAAATATGTTGTTAATAATACAAGAAGAGAACCAATTGATTTATGTGGAAAACAATTTAATCAAGGATCATGTGGTTCATGTTATGCAGCTTCAACAGCAAATTTAGGACAATATCTTTATGCTAATATTTCATATTATTATAATGACAAAGATATTAATAAAACTGTTAAACCATTATTTACACCACAACGTTGGATTGATAAAGCAATTCCAGGAGGATCAAATCTTCAAATTAGTAAAAGATGTTGTGGAGGAAATGTAATGAATATTCTTGATGCAGAACCATCATATTCACTTGAATCAGATTATCGATATATTGATGGTTCAGGATCAACAAGTACATCATGTTCACCACGAGGAGATCAAAATCCAAATGTTAAAATTCAAATGAGAAATGATCATTATCATATTTTTGCTGTTACAGGAACTCATCAAGAAAAAGTTCATATATTAAAAAAGATTCTTCATCATTATGGACCTATTTCAACTTCTATTTACACTAGTGTAGATCCTGCATTTGGAAATGTAGGAAGTGGAATTTATACATTCCCATCATCATGTACTGACAATACTCAAACAGATCATCAAGTTATTATTGTTGGTTATGGTAAAGGAAGATGGAAGAGAATTCTTTATTATGAGAAATTCATGGTATGATGGTTGGGGAGATGGAGATAATTATTTAAAGATATCAACTGATGTTTTATGTGGAATTGGTCAAAAGATTGGTGATTTTTATATTCCATTAAATTACATTGTATTTGCTGGTAATTGTAAGTTAGATAAAAATTGTGATTCATGTGATGAAAGAACATTAAAATGTTCTGCTTGTAAAGCAAATACTACTCTTGATGCAAGAGGAATGTGTGTCGGTGAATGGGAAGATCCATATGATGGTGTTGATGATGGATCAATTTCAATTCTTTTGAATATGAATATTCTTCTCTTTATTCTATTATTCTTTATGATTTGAATTTAATTATTTTTAATGATTCAATTTTGTTTGTTTTTATTTAATGAATAATTTTAGAGAAGTAAATAAATTCTGTAATAATTGATTTGTAAATAAATAACAAAAAAAAAA